ACCTTGGTTTTTTGTGTTTCTTCCTGTTTCACGGACACTGTCTTGAGCGGTCAATAAACCATAGAACTAGTCGCTCGTCTCACCCTTTCCTACGTTTAGAGATGGTTGTCTGTTCAGCCCCGCTCAAGACGAAATTTTAAACTTTCGTTTAAGACCTAAAATGTTAAATTGACGGAAGGTTTATGATCTGCTAAATATCTCCACGTAAATTCAGATAAACCCTTGAATGAGGCATTGTTATCCTCGTTCCTGGCCGGGATCATTCACAGTATCCATATCAAGACGGAATCGTCTGTCCTGTGCGGGCCTTCATTTCGACACAATTGTTTTCCCATCTTTACTGTATTTTTCATTCCTCTCTCAGAAATAGGTTTTCTGTAGGATACAACCGGTAAAGGTTGCCAAAGGCTTTCTACCCTAAGCTACCTAAACTATAGATCGCTTCGTTTACTTTCTTTTTGTTTGTCTCCGTGGCCAGTCATATTCTTCAACTTGTCTCTTCTGCTTTCAGTGTGTCCTCTACTTCACCGTCCGCTTGCCAAACCTCGCCGGTCGTTTGGATGCCCTGTCGGACGTACTGCTGGAGAAGTTTACCGGCGACGACAAGCTGGACCTGGACCCTGTCTTCAGCAGGACCTTTGACGAGGACTACGATGAACATGTGGCTGGTGTCACAAGAGTCCAGTTTGTGCGAGTTTACGGCGACTGGATACGCTACTGCCTTCAGAGGAGCCTTCGGAACTCCGTAAATTTCCGTTATTACCACCGCACAGTTTTTTCTTGCTTGCTCCTCCATTCTCTCCACTCCATGTGATTATTCCCTTTTCCATCGCCGCTATTTGCCTTCTTTCACTTTTTCATAAAATTCATGTATACTTCCTAGTCAATAGACTCGACGGAGCAGTCTATTTTGATGTCGCTGTGCTACGCCATTGGCCTCCTCAGTCGGCGGTGTTTAGGAGGCATTTCGAGTCACCCCAACAGTGCGTAAGTCAATCACATTAAATTTTACCCACAGTCCAGGTTTATCTGCAAAACCAACTTTCATTAGACCTGCGCGCAAGTATTTTTCGCCTTCCTAGTTGTTGTTTCTGAACGATGACGTAAATAATTGAAGCACGAGTTCATTCACTATGACGTTAGTGCTCCTGAGTAGGTGAGGTGGGCAGGAATATTTTTCTATGGTTCCGGAATTGGAGGCGCCTCTGGCCACTCCCCGAAACATTCGTCTGGTAGCAGATGGGAGCGGATCAAACCCTTTTAGATGACAGACGATGTTCTTCATGCTATAAGACCGTTCTGGCTTCTCACCTCTGTCTGGCTGGCTAGTAGCCCTTGTTGGATCAGGAGCCCCGCCGGGTTGGCGAGGAGGGGAAGTCGGAGCAGCGTGGTCAGGAGGGGCTACTCCGTCGTTAAAACAGAGATGTGGAGGAGGGGAGAAAGATCCACCGTAGGGAGGTTCGATGTAGCAGACCTTGGCCACCGTGAGGGTGGGTGGGAACGCGGTCGAAGACGCGTCTGCCGTGGTTCCCTCAATTGCGGATAAATCTTTCGCCTCAACTCTGTATAGGTAACTGGTTTACAAGATAGATGCCGCCATCACGCCAGCCATTGCAGCTTTCAGTCCCTTTTCTGAACAGCTCGAGGAGGGTATCGCGTGGGTCTGCGAACCCAATTGGAAATTACCTTATGATATGCTTACTAAAACGTTTTGAGTAGGCATAATTACCCTGGCTTGCATATTCTTGAGCAGTCATTAACGGATAGTTTAGGGTTTGGTTTGGAAATTTAGAATTCGGTATTTTTGCCTATAGGATTATGGGGCTGGGTTTAGCGGTGTTGGACTAGGGTTGGATTTTTGTGTTAAGGGCTGTGATTGTGAAGTTTCGAATCTGGTTAGTAGTTTGTCTTAGCCCTAAACCCAGTCCCAATTTCCTGGCCCTAATTCTAAACCCAAATCCTTAGCCCAACAGTACTGAACCCATATCTCACTCCAGTTGGAGGGATCTTGTATTCTGTACCGTATTATTGCAAAAAGGGCTTCGTAGGAGTTGACCATCGACGATGTCACGTCCAAAGCCGCGAGAGTGGCGTCGCTAGTGTGAGAGAGTGGAGAGACGTCAGTGTCGGGGGTCCCCAATATGCAGTGGTCAAGGGTGAGAGATCGAGTTTAACCACGCATACTAAGTTCTTTCCGTCCTCAGCCGTGAGGAGCGAGTTACTCGTTACACAGGGCCGGCTGTCGCGAGATGGTTTTTGCTTCTGTGACTGAGCAACACGTCTGCTCGGCAGCGTGTGAGCAGCGCTATGATGTTTTACGGGCTTCTGTGCGTTCGTGTCAACATGCGGGCGTAAGTGCTTGGGTGTTGGGCACGTGATTGGTTGGGTCAAAGGGCAGTCTGGGGTGCATAATCAAAAGGTTCCATGGGTGACAAGGCAGGCTGACTGACGTCCGTAGGATAGAGTTGCGTGTAAGCGCGACCATGACTAAGCCGAGGTCAAGTCGGAGGGGCTGTCGCGCTTTGGTGGAGCAAGCTTGTCGCGGATGCCTGGACGCTGAGGATAGGGGACACTGCAGCAACTGCTCCAGGCCCTCCTATTTCCTGAAACGCGCGAATGCGCCGGGAAGCCCACAAGTGATCTAACTGGCAGGCCGCGTCATATCCTGTTCCTTATCGTAAAGATGCCGTTCGTAGTGGGGGTGCGATATTGTGATTGTTATTTTTTCCAGGCAAGTCCTTATCCTCTCCTTATTGTTCGATTTTCAGAAGTTTTATTTGTTATTTTGAGTTGATCCAATTGTGAAAAACTCGAGGCGTTCGGTGGCATTTGAATCCGCGCAGTAGAGAAGGCCTTTACCGGAGGACAACCCTCTAGCCACTGAGTTACAAACGTCCCGCCTCGCGCCATGAATTTAATCACACTTGGGTCGATATTA